GTGTGTGTGTGTGTGTGTGTGTGTGTGTGTGTGTGTGTGTGTAGGAAAAGTGAGGAACTTCCAGGGACTCTCATGGCTCCTGTCTTGGGGTATTCTCCCAGCTCAGATCTGGCAGCCTCTTGTTGCTGGACCTGTGGCCTCTGAGCCCCAATTCCTTTCTTGCCTCCCAGTATTGGCCCCCACGCCTCACCTTCCTCTGGGACCTTGGCGATCAGCCCCGAGGCTGGGAGAGAAAGCGGCGGAGGAAGTGAGCGCAGAGTACAAGTCTTGAACTACATTTCCCACAATGCCATGGGGCTGGCTGCGGGAATCCGCTCGGGAGAGACCCGGGGCTTCTGGGAGCCTAGTCCTAGGCTCACGTCTCGCGTCCTTGTGTCTCTACGCCTGGGTCGTATCTCTGGCATCTAGTTGGAAGCTTAGGTCCTGGGGCTCAGACTGGGCAGGAAGCTGAAGGCCAGAATTCCTTTCCTTGTCTCTGGAAAGCCGGAGCAGAGAGGGTACTTCTTCGATAGAGGCCGGGCAAGTCCGCCTCTGTGACGTCGAGGCGCGATAGGCGGGGACTCCCTTTGTTGCGGTCCAATCAGACTCAGAGTTGGGCTTCTGGGCGGGGCTAAGGAAGCCTCCAGGGAATATCTCTTGGGAATTCGGGGCTCCAAGTGGGAAGGTGGAAGACGGAGGCTGTGAGAGTTCCTTTAGATAGGGGCGAACCGTGACTCTGACCCAGTCAAACGCTCTCGATACCACGCAGCCAACCTCACCCTAGCCCCTAACAAAATCCTTAATTTTAGTAATGGTAAAATATTAGGAAGGACGTGGCCCGGCCCTCCTCTCTCAAAGCCCTCAGAACATGGACCGGGCTTTTTAGCGAACACTAGTGTTTGAGGGTGCAAGACTCTGGAGTCAAGATCGGGCAGCGGCTGTTTAGGGTGCATTGGATATCCTGGGTTTCCTAACGAGAACTGTGCGCCCTGCAAATTGGGGGTTCTTTACCTCGGGGAAGGGCAACTCTTCGTTTAGTGCTCACCTCCTGTGGGTGAGAGGACTCTCCCCGGAGGTCTGCGCGGACTGAGCGCTCTGGCCTCAATGGGGCCGCGGCTTCCCCTCCTGGTGGCGGCCCTGGCCAGCTGCCTGCTTCCTGCCCTGGGTTGTATCCTGTGTGATAAAAAGGTCTTGGAAGAGCTAAAATCCTTGGAGAAGGAATACCTGCCTACACACCTGAGGGCTGATCAGCACAGAAGACTGATGGCTAGGGTAAACTTCACCTTGAAGGATTTCACCAATCTGCCGATAAATGAGGATTCCTATTTGGGGGTCATCGGTGAGAGCAGGGCTAAGCCCTGACTCCTGGGTCCTGGGAAGGGAGGGGTCTGGGTCTAGGACTGCTGGG